TGTGAATTGTCTTGGCCTACAGGTGATGTCTCCATCACTTCTACTTACAGGCGGTGGGCCCACACTAGTTACGTGGTCCCAACCTCACTGCAAGGGACCCTAAGAAATGAAGAATATGGGAGCCACAAAATTATTACCCTTTGTAATGACCACCTGTCATTGAACTTGTGATGGGACCCTTATTTCATAAGTCACCAAGGTAGGGAAACTGCTACCAACTACAAAGTGATGAGCATTCAAATGTTTTCAAAGATTCTATTATGAAATGTTCGAACATGCAGAGAAGATCAATGAATGGTACAATGACCATAAACCTCCTGCCTAAAATCACATCAATTGTTAATATTTTGGTCCGGCCGGTGTGGCTCAGTGGTTGAGCATCGACCTATGAGCCAGGCTGTCACAGTTTGGTTCTGGGTTGGGCATATGTCCAGGTTTCGGGCTTGATCCCCAGTGTGAGGCATGTAGGAGGCAGTGGGTCCATGATTCTCTCTCATCAGTGATGTTTCTCTTTCTCTCTCCCTCTCCCTTCCTCTTTGAAATCAATAAAAATATTTTAAAAAAAAGGAAGAAACAGCTCTCCTAACACCTTGACGTTAGCCACCAGTCATTGCAGGTCTCTGACTTCTAGAAGTGTAAGAAAAGGGTGGTGAGCGTGGGGGGGTTGGGGGGGTTGGGGGATCATCTTTGAGAAGCTAACTCAAGAATCAGTTCCGACAGACTGTGGAATCTCAGCGGGAAGGCAGGAGTGGGTGGGAGGAGATCAACCACAGAACTTGGGTGCATGTCTGCATAACCCATGGACGCAGACAATAGGGAGGTGAGGGCCTGGGGCGGGTAGGGGCAGGTTAGAAGGGGTCAGTGGGGGGAGAAAGGGGACATATGTAATACTTTCAACAATAAAGTTTTTTTTTTAAAAAAAGAAGTGTAAAAGAATAAAAAAAAGTGTAAGAAAGTAAATGTTTTGAGCTACTAAGTTTGTGGTGATTTGTTACAGTAACAGGAACCAAATACATACAATGTGTCTTTTCTGTCTGGTTTCTTGCACTTAGCATAATATTGCAGAGATGTATCCATGTTGTTGCCTATGTCAGTAGTTTGTTCCTTCCTATGAACAGAAGTCCATTGTCTGGATATCTGACATTTTCTTTTTTTTATTTTATTTTATTTTTTATTTTTTTTAATGAAATCTTTATTGTTCAGATTATTACATTTGTTCCTCTTTTTTCCCCCCCATACCCCTCCACCCGGTTCCCACCCCACCCTCTGCCCTTA